GTGGTATAGCACTCTAATGGTAGGACATATGGCAACGCTTACCTACTTACCTTCAAAGTAGGACCTTGCGCGCATACACACTTGCTCCATCGATCCTGCCATTGTTGGAAGCAGTGGTGGAAGGCTTCTTTTGGAATCTTCTGGAGCTCAGCCATCGCATTCGATTTGATGTCCTCCATGGTTGCGAAACATGTCCCCTTGAGGCCCATTTTCAGAGTAGGGAACAGCCAAACGTCGCTCTGAGCGAGATCCTGAGAGGACGGTGGTTGAGTGATGACAGAAACGTTTCTCTTGGCGTGGAATTGCTGCGCAACAAGTGATGTGTGGCTCAGTGCATTATCGTGATACCACTGTCCCTGCCATTTGTCGCACCGCTTCCTTCAAACCGCATCACGCAACCTCTGCAAAACTTGCATGTAGAAATTGCCAGTAAAAGTCTGTCCAGGCGATAAGAACTCATGGTGCACCAAACCACAGATGTCAAAGAATGCGGTGAGCATCACTTTGTCTTTGGATCTGACGAGGCGTGATTTTTTTGGCTGAGGAGATGATGCTGTGTGCCACTCCGACGACTGCATCTTTGTCTCCAGGTCGTAGGCGAACACCAATGACTCATCACCAGTGACGATCTTCTTGAGAAACGTCGGGTCCTGCGTACTTTTGTCAAACAGATCATCAGCGACCATCATGCGACATTCCATCTGATCCATAGTCAGCTGCCTTGGAACAAACTTCGCACTGACGAGTCTCATCTTCAAATCATGGTACAAAATGGCATGAATGGATCCGTGAGAGATACCAACTTCTTGCTCCAACTCTGCGATGGTCATTCTTCGATCACAACGAATCAGCTGTCGCACTTTTCCAATCATTTCTTCGGTTCTGGATGTCGAAGGTCTCCCGCTGCGCTGGTCATCCTCTAACGTCTCCTGCCAATTCTTAAACCGGGAAAACCAATCGTAAACTGCAGATTTCTTTAGTGCAGTATCACCGTAAACTTGCTGCAGGGCCGATAGCGTCTCTGAAGCAGATTTTCCCAATTTGCACATGAACTTGATGTTCGCACGCTGTTCGAACTGCAACATTGCGCTGAATGACCAACACTCATGTCTAATTCAAATGGAACAGTAACAACACTGCACACTGAAACCTGTCCACACCTGTTGCGCCTGTGAGCAGACATGCTGAGCTCCCTACCACAACAGTGTGTGCGCTATCTTATCGCTCATTCTCCGTCTTCAGGGGAATTCTGGGAACTTTTTGACTGCCCTATGTATACTATCACCCAGTAGATTCACTGGCATGCTCCGTTGCCTTAATATTGAGTTTCTCCGTCTCCTGCAAGTTGCATTTCTGTTTCCTCAATTTGCGTTGCTCCATTTACTAACATGTATTCAACTCCGGCTGGTAACACTTCTCAGAAACCGCGGTTGCGTTTCAGATGTCAGTTTCCTTGGTGTGCACCTGGCCTAATGGTACAGAATGTTCTGTATATGTTGATGGAAGAAACGTCTCCAATATCTCATTCTTTCTCATCAATATTTTCTTGCGCCATGAAGATTACAAAAATGTATACATGAAGAAATTGAATGTTTATGTTAATGCTGAGGCAGTGCCCTTCTTAAAATCTATTACCTTCCCCTGACAATTTAGGTAAAAGTTCATAGGTCATTGTCCTAATTGTGGCCCCACTCATTGGCGCTTTGTGCTCAGTGGTAGACTATGCACTCTCCATTGTCATGTTGTGTTGCTAGTTGATGAAGCAGATTAGGCACTCCTGATGAAGTTCAAACGTACAGGCAACTGTTGCCAAAAACATTCCTTCTATATGGCATGACTGCTTCAGTGCATATTAGCCCACTTATTGTATCAGAGAGTTTTTTGCTCATAGCAAAATGCTTTCGCGTGCAAATTTTCACAAGTGTTAAATGTTGCATTGCATAATAATACTGCTGGTCTTCAAGTGAAATAACGTATCACTGTATAAAATATGGGGATCTATGCAACATATCAGCTGATATACGTGGTGCTATTGAAAAGTTCCCAAAATTTGAATTTTGCCCGCGAATGGTTATGAGTACATCCAAATACCACTAGGTGTCTCCCCATACATCCTTCTTGAATCAGTGTGGCAAACGGCATCAAGTTGAGTGGTTGGGTTTATTGTTGGTGAACGTATTTCCATAGTTGTGTTTCTGTGAGTTTGCGGTTTTGCGATGGCTGACCTGAGAGAGCAGCGTGTCTGTATACATTTTTGTTTTAAACTTGGGAAAACCGCTGCAGAAACGCACCAAATGAAGCAAGCTCTTGGTGACAACAGTTTAGGCCAGACACAAACTTACAACTGGTATAAATGTTTCAAAAATGGCCAAACATCAACTGATGATGATGATCGTTCGGGACAGCTGTCAACTGGCACCACACCAGAAAATGTCGCAAACGTTAGGGATATGATTCTGCACGATCGTAGACTGACCATCCAAGACCTCTGTAACACCTTGGGACTAAGTTATGGTTCATGTCAACGAATTTTGTCAGAGGAACTGAACATGAGGAGGATTGCAGCGAAGTTTGTGCCATGAATGCTGCAAAATGAACATAAGCAGCATCGTTTGGAAGTCTGTAGGGAACTTCAACAATAGCTTCAAAAGGATCCAAACTTTCTTTCAAAGGTTGTCACTGGTGACAAAAGTTGGGTTTATGGCTATGACCCTGAAAGCAAGCAGCAATCGTTGCAATGGAAGAGTCCTTCTTCACCTTGGCCAAAAGAGCTCAACAAGTCAAGAGCAACATTAAGTCCATTTTTATCTGTTTTTTTTTATATTGATGGGATTGTTCGTAAGGAGTTCGTCCCTCCTGGTCAGACAGTCAATAAAGAGTTCTATCACAATATTCTAAGGCGTTTGCAGGAGGACATTAGGAGAAAATGTGCAGAGAAGTGGTTCACGAATGACTGGGTACTCCATCATGACAATGCACGACCACATACGGCTTACATTGTGCAGGAATTTTTGGCTAAAAACTAGATGGCAGTTGTTCCCCACCCACCGTACTCGCCAGACTTAGCTCCATACGACTTCTTTCTCTTCCCCAAGATGAAAATCAAGTTGAAGAGGCGAAGATTTGATACATTTGAGGAAATTCAAGTGGAAACGCAGACAGTACTAAACACCCTAACAAAGAAAGACTTCCAGGATGCATTTCAAAAGTGGCAGAAATACTGGGATCGGTGTATGCACTCCCAAGGGGACTACTTTGAAGGTGATGGTACAAAACTAGATCCAGGTAAGACGGAATAGTTTTTATTAACTTATTTCGGGAACTTTTTGATAGCACCACATAGTTTCGTTTTTTAGAAAAGAAGCTGGCTACCCATAATTTTCGAGTAAATATGGTTGGGGATTTTAACGTTCCTCGTTTCAACTGGAAAAGTGGTCTATCTCTGCCCAATTCCCATTATTACTCTAAACTAAATGGAGATGCGACTTACACCTCCACGTCTTCTAAACCTTAACCAGGATCAACTGGAGGAATATATTTGATTTAATTTTTTTTTCTAATTTAAGCGATTTAGGTTTTACCCCTGTCAATCCTGGACTTATAAAGCCTAATGATTATCGCCCCCTATGATTATCAATATTTGTCTGCCCCTTGCCATTTGTATTCAAAATTATGCCTATTCGTACCATAAATTCTTGTCTGGGGATTGTGCATTGCTTCATAATAATGTCTCAACCTATGATTGGTCTTGTGTGAGTGGTACCACCTCTGTTGGTTCTGCTGTTGCTTGCCTCAATACTGCTGTTCAAGATGCCATGGAACAGGTAAGTCCTCGTGGCATCATAAACATTAATTCAAAATTCATATACTGGCACTCTAGTTCCTTAAGGAATTATATTAAAACAAAATTATTTTCACAGGTAATTAAAAAAAAATAACTGGGTAGCCAAAATAAGCAGTAATAATTTCAGGTTTGTATTTAATACAAATTCCCATTGTCACACCACATTCCTAATAAAAGGCCTCAGATAAAAGGACAGAGAGACAAATGTGATATCTTCTAAGGGATTTACATGTTTATTGCATGCAACACCAAAAAATCCTAGCAAGGAATTAACAGCAGGACTAATGCTGGGATATAGTGAATAGGCTATAGGCTAGATAACTTAGAGATCATGATTCAATTCCTGGCAGAGGCAAAGATTTTCATCTCCATAGAATCCAGACAGGCTTTGGGGCCTACTAAGTCTCCTGTCCTGTAAGCACTGGAGGCTCTTTCCCCTGGGATACAGATGCATGATGGTGCTGACTGCTCACTTCCATCTAGTGCCAAACTTTAACAATACATGCAACTATATCTCCATTCCCCCTCATTTGTTAATGGTTGTGGTGCTTCATTATGCACAGGACTTCCACTTTTTTATTGAACTAATACTGCCTTCAGTAATAGAATTTTAGACCTGAGGTCAAAATTATTTCATCAAACATGCAAAATCTGGGGAAAAAAGTATATTCAGGACCACTGAAAGCTTATTTTATTTATAATTATATTAAAATTAGAACATAATTCATCATCACCACCAATACCCTAGTATTACACAGCTTGGTCTTTTAAAATGGAGAAAACTGTACAAGTCTTTCTTCGGTTTTAGACAAATATATATGTGTATATGTACACAGACACACACACACACACACACATGTTGTAATATATTATTTGTATATATATATATACAGAATGGCAGAGCAGACAGTGCTGCCTAACATGTTGACCTCTTAAAATAATATAAAAAAATCCACAACTCATTCACACAACCTTGTCTTCTGTCTCATATTCAGGAATGTGTTTATCACAATACAAGTATGTGCATGTAAAAAGTGGAAAGTAATTTTAAACACCATATATAACAGCAAATAGGGGAAAACATTGTAAAACAGAGAAAGATTATAAATAAAATCAGGCCGCACGTTGCTTGGAACATGCTCGGTCTCGAGACTAGCATGGGATGGTCACCACAGTCATTCCTGCCACTCATGTGAGAAGTACAGAACAAAACAAGGCCACTCTCTTGGCTAATAGTATTTGTTCTCCTGCAATAAATTATTAATCTCTGTCATTGTGTTTCAAAGCACTTAAAAATTTGAGCAACAAAGTATTTCATATCCCCAAAAGTTATGGCATATATATGTATATATATTTTATACACAAGCTAATGACATGTTGAGTTAGTGTTCAATGAGGTAAACATCACAATGTCAGTTCTGAAGTGTACAAAAGAGGAATGAAGTTGGAATGACGTGACCTGGAAGCCATGTGTGTTGAATGTACAAATTATTTACAGATATTATATTACTGCAGGGCATTGTGCCTATGTACAAAGTGAGTGATTAATACTCTGGAAAAATGTGACATGCTAAGTCTATCCCACAACGTCCCATTGCACTCATCATGATAATGATTTAAAGCTTATTTGATGTGGTGTCCCTCAAGAGTGCACTGCACCAGCTTGCCACATGGTGTTGGGCATCTGCTATGAGAGGAACTCTCACTCCAACTCAGTAACGGAGGGTTTTCGCGTCCAGTACTTGAATTCATCTCACCACTGAGTCTGCATATCCTCCTGGGGACAGCCTGCAATGGCACTGTCACATCTTGGCTCTGTCCATGCACTGGAATGTCAAGCAGAGTCTCCCTGGTCTCTGCAGCCATCATTATGACCGGTGAGAACAGGACTCTGGATACAGAGGAGTAGGAGCCCTCCTTAGCTGAGACATAGCTACTGTCCTCGCTTGTTAAACTGTCCGGGGGAGTTGGGTTCGTGGGTGTATCAGCTCCGCCAGATGATGACGAGCCACCTCCTCCCACTGTCCTTGATCCCTGTACAGGAGTGTAATTGTACCGTTTCAAGCTTGACCGAAGCCTTGTTCCTCCACCAACTTCCAGTGTACCAGGTCTTGTGTCAACCACATTGGATGCATTTGAATCATGAGAGTTTTGTCTAGAAAAGAAAGGTGGTGGTGAAGGACTGTACTCATAGTCCATGCCGCGACGCTGTTGGGAGGCATAATAATGGTGTGTTGGTGTGCTGTACTGTGAGTACTCCCCCTCATCCTCCAGCCTGAAGCTTGGATTCACATTGGAACTAATGTTATTTGATAAGAAAGCATTAGATACATTTGATGGGGTTCTGCGATCTTCATAGGGAGTATGATTAGCAGCACTACCACTGGAACATAGACGTGAAGGTATCCGAGGGGTTATACTGTTGCGCTAGGCGTTCACTAGATCGCATCGTACGCATCGGAGCTATAATAGGAAAATGTGAGTGCGTTCACTTGCCCGCATCGCCAAGCCGACGCATCAGCCCGTGCCAGTCTCAGCAGTGTTCGCGTGCATTCATTATCGCAGTATGGGTGTACTTGTTCAGTTCACGATGGACAGCGAGACAGAAGTTGCGGTAGTTACTTGCATCCTAATAGAAGATGAGAAAAAAATAAAAGAAACAGAAAGGAGAAGAAAGTGTTATTGGGTTCACAATATCAACAGGAAAAGATTAGTATTCAGAGAGTTCAGCTCACTCTTTTCGGATCTGCTGGAGGATGACGCAAAATTCTTCCAGTACTTTCGAATGAGTCACGAATAATTTGATTATCTATTACATCTACTTGCACTGAGTTTAACGAAGAAAAACACTCGTTTTAGATATGTAATATAACCAAAGGAAAGACTTTCTCTCTGTCTGAGGCAAGATACTTCTATAAAATAATAATATACTAAAGTAATTATTTTATTATTTCACACAAGTGGCTACAAAGCGGTATAAATCTAATTACTAATTGAAAACGTGTCAAATTATGGATACAAACACGTTGATTATGTATTTATATAACAACACTTTTATTATCAGTTTATTTTCATCTAATTTCATTCCCGACGATCATGATACGATTACTGACTCGGCCATGCCTGCTCAGTGTAGTATCCATAGTAATCTGTGGGTATAGTTGTCCCATCAAATGCAGGTTGTAAACAATATTCATCATTTAATGAGTTTGAATTTATTGGAGTTGACTGAGTAGGAGCAGCCAATTCATTCGCAATTCTCATTTCAACTGAATTAACCAACTGAAATATTTTGCTTTTTAATTCCACTTGATCTTTAGTAGGAAATGATTTAACAGTGCCCACCATATTCAAGAAAAAATTAGTCAGTCTGTCATCTTCACGATTGGGAATGCCAGTTGTCTTTGGCATCTAGATATTCTTTCAGAATGGCAGCGGCAGAAGGCTCTTCAGATGATGTGCATTTCTTACTGCGTTTTGATCGAGATGTGTAGGATGAATGAGCTGAAGAGTGTACGGACAAATTAGAGTCATTTGCTGTTACACTATCTTCTCCGTCGTCTTCAGTGTTTCTGTCATTGCCGTCATCATTGCCATCATCAACACCTCCTGGAGAAGGAAAGTTCGATTGTTGAATGGCATCGTCCAAAAGCTATGGGGCCAAAAAAGAAAGTTCCTTCTCATATTTAGGCGGTTTCGTCTTTGACGCTGCCTGGCCACTTCTGGTTTTTCTCAAGTTTAAGGCTTTACGGTGATTATCACGCAACCGTGTCCAACGTTATCGACACTGCTTATCTGAAAGATAAACAATACAATATCCAGTAACATGTGTGTTACATTAGGTATGTACATATTTTGTTTATTTTACTGTTTACTGTGCCCTTCTTCCCCACGATTTAGTCTCGCGAGAACTTTCATACGATGTCTTTCGAATTAACGTGAGGGTTACAACCTTTTACCTAACACCATCGATATACTCTTAAATTGAATTCATATATCACACAACTATCAGACGAAGCATCAACAATTTCGCATGTAAGTGTTTTCATGCTGCCTTACGAAGTATACATATTCCTCATTTCAGATATCTTGCCACTGGAAACTCGTTTCGTTCTCTCTCATTCAGCTTCCGCTTGGGAGAACGAACGGTACGAGAAATCATATATTCAACATGTGATGCTATATGGAGACGGCTGCAACCCCTCTTCATGCCACAACCTGACGAAGATATGTGGGTCAAAATAGAAGATGATTTTTGTAAAAAGTGGAATTTTCCTAACTTACTCGGAGCCATTGGCGGGAAACACATGTTAATTCAAGCTCCTCCACATAGTGGATCACAGTACTTTTGTTACAAGAAAGTGTTTAGTATAGCATTGTCAGCTCTGGTAGATGCCAGCTACAAATTTATTTTCATAGATGTAGGAGCCTATGGCACAAATTCAGACAGCAGTATTTTTAAGCGCTCTGCCTTGGGAACCGGTCTAGAGAACAATACTTTAAACATCCCTACAGAGAAACAACTGCCTGGAAGTAATACTACGCTACCACATGTAATAGTTGGGGATGAAGCCTTTCCCTTACGAACATATTTAATGACGCCATTCTCTAGAGATCAAGCTCGTGGAAATGAAGAACGAAAGGTTTTCAATTATAGGTTAAGCCAGGTGAGAAATGTTTCTGAAAACTCTTTCGGTATTTTGGTTAGGAAATTCAGAATTTTTGAGCATAGGTTAAGCCTGTCTCATGAGCATGCCAACTGCGTAATCCTTGCAGCCTGCATACTACATAATTATTTGAGACATGATAATTGTTACTGGTCCGAAAATGATTTACAAGTTGCTGTTTCTGATATGCAAGGGCTAAGGAACTTGGAACGATGTGGTGGACCACCACCTCAGGCTGCATTACATGTAAGAGATGCATTTACAAACTACTTCAACTCTGAAGCAGGACCTGTAGAATGGCAAGCTGCAAGAATTCAAGTTGGCAAAAGGAATATTCAGAATTAATTTGTTGAATGCTCCGTTCATGATAGCTTTACTATTTAGTTTTTTAGTTACTGTTTAGTTAGTGTTTTGCTACAAATATAGGCCTAGTAATTATGTCAAACATTAAACAATGTTTAACAACGCTCAAATAAAAACTATACGTTATATTAAACTGACCTGTTCTCTTCATGATTCCTGCTATTTCCTCCCAAATGTTGTCCCTTCGCTGCTGGTTGCCATAGTCTGGATGTTTCAGATTGTATATTTCTTCATAATTCTGCACTAGTGAAATCAAAGTGGCGTCATCCATGCTTGCTTGCAGATAATAACTGACTGCTGCGCCCTGTATAGTGTTTCAAGAGCTGTCGCACGATGGGCAGATACGAGAGACCTCGTCCACTGCAACGGGGTTACCGGGTGACTTATGCTCTCGCATCGCACACATCGGATTCTATGCCCTCTCAACCATGGCAATCGGATTTGCCGTAGTACGATGCGTGCGATACGATGACGTGAATGATAGCGCACTTGATTTCGTTACTTACATGTAACTTAGCATCCGATCCGATCTGGTGAACGCCTACCTTTGGTAGAACTGCTCACACTGCTTACACTCGGATTATCATAAGCACCTGTGTGGGGGTGGTGGTGTAGCTGGTAGCCTTCAAACTCAGGGTACAGTCGATCAGCATAGTGCAGTACGGCAGTGTTTCCCACAGCACTGTACATACTACCCGTGAAACATGAATCAGTCCTGTAAAATTCGGGACGTGCCGAATAGTGATTGCCACTGGCATAATGAACAACACTGGCACTGCCACCTTCTGCATAGTCCGCTGCCGAGATATACAGACCAGGACCTCGGTGGTCCAGGAGACCCCCTCCAGATGGTGCAGGTGGGGGTGGCGGATAAGTTGCCTGTGAAGACATAAATTAAGTTGCATAATCAGTTCAGTGAAACTGGAAGAGAAACTACTTCTGCCTGGCTTCCAAATTTTCCTACATCCTCTGTGTAACTATACTCTTACCACCAGTGCATTTCATTGGGAAGCATGCATTTTCTTCAGAATGAAATTCTCAAACCCAAAGCTGTCCACGATCCTAGTTTTTAAAACAACTATGTTTCTGGAAGCCGACTCTATCTCCATCATGAGTTCTACCTGCATCAGTGGTTCTTCAGTGATGTGCTGTGAGGCTTTGTAAGAAGAATGATTATAAAATATAATATGCACTTCCATAGTGCATATGAGCAAAGCAAAGCATATGCACTTTCATAAACTTTTTAAATTGATATTTGTAACACAACATTATCTTTCTGTTTTATGATAATTCTATATATTTATACAATAAATTACATTATTTAAAAAATAAGTGTGATTTTACTACAACTTCTAGTTTTCTATTCTAATTTTAGTGGGACACAAAAAAGAAAATGAATATACCAAGCAAGTGTCCTGCAAGCACAAGAAGGTTGAAAACCACTGACCAAGAGACCCAACACAGTATGTTTCTGTATGACTTTTACTTTTGATAATATGCCACGCAGTATGTTCAAGGTTTACCAGTGTTTTCAGCAAACATTTCAGTTGCCATCTTCTGGAGGGAGGGGATACTGGATGTGTGTCCAGCTTTCATAAAGAGCCTGATATAAACATCATGTTAGTTCTAATCCCCTACATCAACAGCTGTTTACAGTGACATTCAAGGTACAGTCCTGAAACTGACTCTTTTAAAAAGCATGCAACTTTTATGGAATTTAACATCCCATTTCATTAAAAGAATTATGTTTATTTTGGCTTGACAATGAAGTAGGTAAGAAGTGTAATGCTAAGGATTCATCTAGCATGATTCTCTAAATGTCTGTCACAGCGGACAAATTACAGTAAAACTGTGTTGGACAGTGTCCATACTGTGACATATAACTGATGTACAAGATGTTTCTGGAGTTGACTCTGCTTCCACCTTCATGAGACTGAATGCAATTATACTGACAGATGTTTTCACTGCTTTTAATTTTGAGTTTAGTATACAAAGGATTCTGGGTACATCCCCATCAGTTAACATTAATCTGAGGAAATAAAAACAAAATATATTTGTCAGTATAATAAGAAACAATCTGCTGATAGTGACGGTCTGCTTAAAACATTTTTGGGGGTGTGTCATACCTTGAGCAAGTAACCTTGTTGAAGAAGAGACCCATGTGTCCAACAAGATCTTTAGTATGGCAGTTTTGTTTTCCAGCATATGTTGATAATAAAATCTAGTAGCTTTATAAAGATAAGGTAATGATCTAAGTCACTATTTGATGATGAAGAGCCCTCAAGGATATTTTAGACTCAGTTCTAATACAGCCAACTCTGAGGATTATCATGAATCCGTTATTTACACACACATCAAGCAAACAGTCCTTCAGTATAAGCTAACGGTTTCTGCCCACCTCACTGCCCTCATTGCTGGTACTGGATGACTTGCGCCGGGGAGAAAGAGTGGGCGTTCCTCCCTGTGCCACTGCATAATGCTGAGGAGAGTCTGTGAATCGCAGCGGCTTGGTGCCACCTTCAGGATCTGGCCCCAGATTGTTCAGCAAGGGCCTCAGGTGCCTGGCAGGGCCATGGTACGTATTGTGAGGGTAGCCTGATGAACTTGAAAATTCATAGTCCATACCCAGGTACAGAGCTCCAAGCCCTGAACTGCGATTTGAGCTTCCACCAAACCACCACCACCTCTCCTCCTGTTCTTCTTCTGACCTGAACAAAATATCACCTGAACATGTATTTCATTCCAGAATATTTAAGGATTTCAAGACACTATATCTGCACTTGTCATTCTTAACTGTCAACACATCAAAGAACAAGCTGAATAAATTAAAAACAATATTTAAAACTAGTTTAAAGTAATTTTTGGTAGTAAAATTTCCTTTACACAAGATGAAATGGTTAACTGACACAAGCTCAAGTTTTATAATTAAATAGTGAATTTCCCCTGTGTCAAGTCTTCTGCAGTTTAGTGGAATTTCCTCCACATAAATGGTTACACTGCTGTGACTTGGTCTTCTGGGTTTAGGTAGTGGGATTTGTTATACACCAGACACAATGGTTATACAAACATGACTCAGTTACGCTGGTTTCTCAGATAAACACTGGGAACTAAGCATTTATACCACCAATAAAATATTGTCATGTGTTAGAGACTATGCAGGTTGGAGAAAACTGCATAATGAGGAGCTTCATAACTTGTACTCTTCTCCAAGTATAATTAGAATGATGAAGTCAAGGAGGATGAGGTGGACAGGTCATGTAGAACGAATGGGGGAGACGAGGAATGTGTATAGGATATTGGTGGCAAAGCCAGAAGGAAAGAGACCACAGGGAAGACCAAGGTGTAGGTGGGTGGACAATATTAGAATGGATCTTAGAGAGACAGGGTGGGATTTCGTGAAGCAGTTTCAGGTGCCCTGAAAAGCGATTGTAGATTATCCAGAAGAGTAGCACCATCATCCTCACAATTAGTTTCCCCCAGTCCTCTAAATGCAAGGCCACTGATGACGCTAGTCTTCAGGGCATCTACAAACTGTCCCACAGTTGGGTTACTGTTCGAACCACAGTCCAAATGAATAGCTCCAAATGTGTTCTCCAGGGGGTCCTGATTCAGGTACTCAAAACCCGCCTCTTTCAGTGTCCTCCACACATGCTGGGCAGCAGTGATGTCAATCAGCCACCCATTCTGTGAAGGAGGAGGATGAAGAAAGGCGGGTTTACCATCCTTGAGGAAGATCCAACTCTTTATCGCCATACTTGCCTTTTTTCAGACCTCTATATGGGGACTGTTGTCACTGAGCGGGCAACGCAGTGTTTTCCCTTCGCCAACACTTGTTTGCTGCACAGAAATTTATCATACAGCATTCTAGCAGAATCAGTAGTACAGGATAATCCAACTCTTCCTGCCCATACCATAGCCCTGTAAGAGTATTACATATCGTCTCAAAACCTTGAAATAATTCATCAGGAAACATTACAAACATGGTGTAGGTGCTACATTACATCATGACTAAAACAGACATTCATTCATTTATTTATTTTCCATTAATCCTTACATGGCTGGAAGAAGAGTGGATATAGTAATAGTCTAAGACAACAGAATGATATAAATAAAAATTATTTACATTTAACCTGTAACAATTACACATATTATCAAAGACAAATCACAGTGGGTAAATCATTAACACAGTTTTAAAATATATATGTGAAAGAATGCAGCACACTAATGACACAAGACTACAACAATGAAACATAAAAGTATACTACTAGGCATTCAGCATATAACAGACCAAGATCATTAATTAATATTGGAGTTAAATTATTCCTCCAATGAGTAAAATAGACTTACCCTTTGGTACCTATCTTTCACATAGGATTTTATCAATGCATTGGCCTTACCAACTATTCCATAAAATTCTACTTTAGACAGAGAGATAGACAGACAGATAATGACACAGTCAAAGGTTTTCTTCAAATCACAGAAAATTTCGAACATTATTGGTATTGATGTTGTCTAGCTATTGTTCGAAAATAATTATTAAGAGAATCTGTAATAACATCATGATTATCAGTTAACTTCCCATCAATGTTTAAAAACTGTATATCTGCATTATTAATTTTTCTACCTGTGTCTGATTTTATAATGTCCAAGTGGTTTTCATTTTGTTACTAGAATTAGAAATTGATTTGATTATAATGAAGATTTTTAGCTCCTTTAATAACACTGGCCAAAATATTACAGTATGTTTTATAATAATATTTCAGATCTGGCTCATACCGTGCTGAATCCCTGGGAAAATAGAAGAATTTAATTCCAGTGTGGTCACTGGAAGACATGTACCCTGGTGCAAAACACTTTTTCTTTCTTCCCATTTATACTGCAAGAAACAATACAAAAATTATAACAGAATCACAGTACACTCTCACTTTCGTAAGATTCTACGGTCCTTCTTTAGGCTACACCGAAATATGTTTAAAATACAAAAATACGATTTGAAGTATCGGAGAAACACTGACTTCGTGTTTGTTTCTAATTTCACTGGGCGTAATCCATATACATAAGTAACAAACAGATGTAAATTCATGCGTAAATGTGGACTCTCGTTTCATAACATCAAATCAAAGTCCCTACTTACTAATTAATCTAATTAATTGCACGACATACCTCAAAGGCGTACACATATCTTCAGAAACTACGCACTTTTACTGTGCCAACGCCCGAAACCTTCAACGGAAATTTATGATCTTCTGCTTGGCTCACACTTACGCGATTCGATTGAATGCGATAGGTGTATAATGATCGATTCCAGTCGTTCCCAGACTACCTAGTTCATTTTATTGAACATAGATGGCTCTTATGCATGTTTCCCTCTCCCTTATGGGAGTTTCGCGGTGCTGATCACTAAGTTACCCTACTTCGCTCTGGTAACTGTAAACAGTTGGTATAAGGGATAGTTAAGGATTTAGTATTCACAATATTTGCCACGTATAGTAACATACAAGAAATTAGTTAGGATTTGTTATTTTTTCGAAGTTGGTTTGTGAATAGTACTACAATGACTCGGCATGCAAGAAATTGTACAGCGGGTGCAGTGTACACGTATCATGAAAAGAAAAAAGATGCTCAAGCATCTGGATATGGCACGAATTCGCAGCGAGTTGGAAAGGATTCAGTTAAAGATTTTGACTGTTGTTCTCTCACTTTGCAGCCTTGTGTAAATCCAGTTGTCACGTAAGTTCGTAACAGTAATGATGATAAAGGATCACAAAATGTATTGAACCCTTTCTGTTACCCAGTTTAGTAAACCTAAAATAACCAGAAACTAACCTTAATAGAGACAATTTCTTTTTGTAAGTATATTTAGAAAAATTAAAACATTTTGATTATGATCTTTCAAAGATTCAATATGTATAACGTTGAGTATGCAGTGGTTTTGATTTTGAACATATTCCTCTTTATACCGCTTATGTGAAAATCTTTCTACTGTGCTATCATTTTACCTTCAGCTGAATTGTGGCTACCATGGCTCCTTTAACTTTCCTGAATTTTTCCTTAGGGAGCTTCACTTGTAGTAAGATTCAAGTGGAAATTGGTGGCTTTGATGAATCCATAGTCTCATTTTAGTAAGAAACAGTGTTCCAAGGTCAAATGTTACATTTCAAATTTATTTTGCATTCTGCAAATCCATAATAGGAAAGCCTATTTGGGTACAACATAAGTCATACATCTTACAATAAATGTGAAATTAATTATCAATTCCAAGTCTTGTTTTATGTACAAAAAAGAGAATTCAAAGATTGTGACATTAATGACCAACATATAAATCAGTTGAATAATTACACTGAATACTCAACTACTAGTAGCAGAATAAGTAAGTATTTGAAAAATGTCCTAATATTCTGTACAACAACTAAGAAGTTGAAAAGTAATCCACAATAAACATATAAAAATTAATTGTAAACACAAAGGAGTTGCAAATTTATGAGTTCATGAAGAATAATTATTTCAGTATGATTAATTGTAGTTAAAATACTAAGTATAGTGAATGTTAGAACACACAGTATTAAAAATATATTAAAAAATTCAATATCTTTAATTACGGAATTTGACAGTGTCTCACAAACAGAAATATAGTGAAACAAATAATAATACAACAACGTTGGTTATTTATTAAAAATTTGTTCTGTTGACGGTTGTATAATAATGCTAAGGTAAAAGCTGTTCCTTCATGTCAGATACCATTTCCTGTGTTCATCTGCCAACTTTGACTCTGCTTGCTACTTGCCTGGCTTACTCTCGTTGATTCTGAATTGGAGGCAGTGCGTTCCTCTGAAACATCAGGAATTTATTTCAGGCTACATAGCATTATATTCCAGAAAACCAATCTCTTCATAGTCACTGCCATGAGAACCTCAGATGTTAAATATGAAACATTTTATATTAATATCCCTGGTATAGTTGCAGGCACCTGTTGCGGGAGTAACATAACTGTGTCATAATTTCATGCAAGTAGGAGGGACATAAGCAGTTACCTTATTTGTAAGTTTAACATGTATATGTATACATATGTAGTAAAGTTCTTTTGAAATGTTGCCTTGTTTGTTATAGGTCTGATGGTTACCTGTTTGATAAAGAAGTAATTTTGGAATATATTATAACAAAAAAGAATGAATACTGTCGAAAATTGAAGGAATACGAAAAACAAAAACGGAAGGAAGAGGTAATAATTTGTTACAAATGCTACACTTTCATGTGCCTTTCTTTTTCTGTGCCATATGTTGAAAATATTTGGATGCAGGAAAAAGGATATAGTGATGGAAGTGGGTGAGGGAATTACATAATGAGGAGCTGCATATTTTATGTTGCTCTCATAATGTAGGAGGATTGGATGGGTAGGACATGTAGCATAAATAGCATCGGGGAAAGACATACAGAATTTTGTTGAAAAAGTTCAAGAGAAGAAACCACTTAGGGGATGTAGTTCTGGATGAGGGGACAATATTAAATTGGTTCTTAGAGAAACAGAATGTATGAGTGTGGACTGGATGTGACTAGCTCAGGATAGCATCCTGTGACTGGCTTCTGTGAACATGGTATGGATCTTTGGGTTCCATGAGAATTCATCATTATCCTGTGTAACTATAAAATCTTAAACCCTTGAAGTTCCATCCTTAATTTTGTCAGCTCCAGATAAAGGGGGAATTAGGATAGCTCAGTCTGTATAGTAGTGGGCTACAGGCTGGACAGCCCAGGTTTGATTCCTGGCAGTGCAAGATTTTTCTCTTCTCCACAGAGTCCAGACTGGCTCTGGGGCCCAACCACCCTCCCATCCAATGGGAACCAGGGGCCCCTTCCCTGCGGGTAAAGCTGCAGGGGTGTGAAGCTGACCACTCCCCTCCATCTAATGTCAAGGTCAAGAATGGTGGAGCTATGCCTTCACTCCTCCATATATCTTCATGGCATAGTCTGGAACTAATTAAGCACAAGGACTACTGTACTTTACCTTTACCAGGTAAAAGGACTGAAAAGTTCATGAATAAATAATACTGTCACGTGTTGGGTGTTGGTAACGCGACAAATAACTTAATGCTGTTTTGGATCAAGCGAATTTATTCCACTCACTCTTACATTTACACAATTACTGCCATCTGCAATATCACACTTACTTCCCCTGCTGGAGTCACTGCCATTCACTCGTTACAACTCGACTCATAACTCAATAGTCACTACTCTAGTAACTCACTCTCTAGTAACTCTGGTTACGCTGACAAATACTCCTCGTAATGTAGCTTCCGCACTGATAACACAAAACAGTTACGTGATAGCTACCACTAATGCGTGACATCATGTTTACCGATTGCCAAGCAACACACTCTGCACGGAGTCTCCTGTTGCCATGTAGTAACCGCAGTGTCCCCTGTTACGTCACTGTGGGAAGTGCTGTTACGTCACCACAGGGGGGGGGTGTCCTGCATAGCGCAGATACGTCACGATACATATAAAAGTCACCCTAATAACATCCTAATAATTTCCTCCACGTGTTTCTTGATTATGAAGTTTATGTTAAATGCTAACAGATGTCATGTGCTGTGAGAACAGTTCTTGTAAAGGTAAAAAAATTTGATATTTGGAACTTGTAGGGTTAAAGATAGGTCATGAACTGTGGAACTAGTGAGATGGTTATATACTGGATCACGTTTTCTTTCAGTTCTGCTCAACTTATGATCAATTTGTAGCCAGCGACTTTGGTCATGGTATTCATCTTTCATTGTACTGTGTTGAGTTTTTGTTCCCTGTATTACTACTGGTCGCCATATTAAAGAAATGCATTTTTTTAGGCAGAATTGGCAGAACTGGCAGCAGCAGAAGAACGGTCAAAATTGAACAGCTTTTTGAAGACAGAGAAGAACATTGTCAGTGCTCCAGTCAAAGCTTTCAAATCAGGTATTTATATGTATTTTTAATTTTTATTATGTCCATTTGAGGTTTGAACATATTTGGATCTAAAAAGGATGAAGTAAGCAAGCAATTTAGGATAGTACATAATGAAGAATTTTGTGTGTGTGCATCCATGTATGTGTGCGCGCATGCACCACCAGGGCTGTGATTGACAGTATTTGTAGTTTGGATGGAGGAAATAAGGAATGCGTAGAGAAGTATTGTGGGGAACCCTCTGACAGTGTTATTTGAATGAAAGGGACAAATCACTTGATCCAGTTTGCTGACTCACAATTTTAATCCCATGGACAAAATATCTTTAGGTTATCATATTAGCACTATTCCTTTGTAACTTCTTTGTTAAAATATTCATGATGTGTATGTATTAACAGTCCTCAAGTGCATACAATCCCATTTGCCACTTCTACACTACCTGTTTCGGCTGTGTGCTGCCATCTTCAGTTGTATCGATCCGTCAACCATTTCACTGCTTTCCTTTATATGTCCATTTACAAATAATATTAAATTTTTGTATATGTCCTTATATAATAATAAAGTTTATGTATTTAAAACTTATTAAAACCTATTATCTCATATGTCATATTTTAAATTGGTGTGTATTATTAATCATCCACATGGGGGTCATTCTTGTTGTGTTTCTAATGTTGTGTGTATATTATGTCTCATGATGTGTTCTACTCTTGTGGCTGCGTGCCTTGTATCGTTGGATGTTCTTTGATAAGATTTTTTTCCATTTTTTGAAGTTAAATTAACATATTTTATCCTACTGGCCATGCAATAGCATAGTTGGCTGAGGCACTATGCTACAAGCTGGAAGGTCGCGGGTTCGAGTCCTAATGAGGTGGATTTTTTTCTAAATTTATTCTAATCCTTCTATTTGCACTATGGCCCTGGGGTCGACTCAGCCTCGAACAGAAATGAGTACCAGGAACCTTCCTGGGGGGTAAAGTGTGGCTGGCATGTACAGCTGACAACCTCACCGCTGTCTGCGAGCTGATTGTCAAGACAATGTGGGACCCTCTATGTCTCACAACCCTATGGGCCTCTATGGCCTATTACAGGGATTACCTTTACCTTTTTATCCTTATCATTTGAGTATCTGATGTTATGAAGTTATCTTTAGAGAATGTGCCTGGTCTGTAATATACTTAACACTTTCATGGTTAAATTATTTATTCTCAGTAGATTTGAGCATAGTTGCATGCACTTAGTATACTGTGTGAAACTTTAACTGGGAAACATGTTACCCACTGATTGTGGCTGGTAAAGAAACTTTAGAGGGTGGGGTTCATATGTTGGGATAAAATTTACTGACCATAGAAAGCTAACCTTTGTTGATTTGATATTTGAATAAAGTATTTCATTCTTCATGATTGTCATATTGTTTGTGACAGACCCGTTAAATATTGAGAAGCCATCTGTGTCTAACATGACAGAGGGTCGAGATAAACATCTACCCAGCTTCTGGATACCGTCCAAAACTCCTGAAGCCAAGGACAAGACTCTGAAGAAACCTGTGAGTTGACAGTATGAGACCTTTTTTAGTGAGCCTTTGACTCAGGTACCTTAATCAGGAAGACAGAAAGAATATTTCTTCAGTTATATTATGCCATTGTACAGTCTAGTACTGGTGAAGGTCGCTGAGTTTTGGCTGTGTAGTAAACATGGTTGAATCCTATTCCTTGTACAAACTTAACCTCTCAAAGGCGTACTGCTCATGCACATGCAAGAGAGATTTATAGCAAACAGTTTAATTTGGTGGTACAAGTGAATATAAAAACAGTTAGTTTTATTTGCCAACTATAGGAAGTAAATTTCTAGGCAAACTTATGTGCAGCCACATAAAAGAGGTAGTGAAAAGTCAAAAGTTTGCTGGTGCAGCAGTAAAAATGTTTCATGCCATCATATGACTAATGGCAGATGTGTTGCCAGTCCCTCACAATTCATTGTGGAGTTACGTAATGTCAATATGGAAACAGTAGAATTGTTTGATGGTATGTTGTCCCACAGTGTAAAGATTCTTGAAGTAGTGGGGAGTATTCTGAGGAGGCCACTTTATGCTAGATAAATCTGCTATTTTGCCTTAGAATCATAAACCAGGAAAAACTGTACAACATACCTAACCAGTCCTCCTTGAAGTGTTGCCGATTTTTCTTTCCCAAGAAGGAACCTTTGTATCTCTACCTATATGAATTATGTTGCCATGTTGTAGTGCGCATATATTACAGGTTAATACAATTCAAGGAAGAAAAGTTACAAAACAAAATTAACTCTCTTTGGCAGAGCCAAGGAACAGCTCTTATAACTAGATGTGTGATATGGTTATTTGCCCTATATTTTATTTAATTTCGTTACTAGCAAATGATACAAGTAAAACACTCTTATAATATTAGAGCAGATGAATTGTGATTGATCTTCATACTGCATAAGTTTCAAGGGAGTGTACTTTGTGTATTATATTTCAGGAAAGGCTCTTCACACCCCCATGCCTTTAGGATATGTCACCCATATTTGGTATGACTGCAGCCTTGTTATACCGTTATGTTCTCTTCCATTTAGGACAGGAATGTATACTGCCCTGTAAGTGGGAAGCCTCTGAAAGCCAAAGATCTGATTGATATAAAGTTTACACCTGTGAAAGATCCTGATGATAAGAAGGCTTTAATTGTGAAACAGAATCGTTACATGTGTGCTGTGACCCATGACATCCTCAGCAACTCAGTCCCATGTGCAGTTATCAAAACTACGTAAGTACCATTTTTTTTTAATTGTTTCATTTTGGTCCGTTACAATATCAATCACAAAGTTAATAGAAAGTCCGTCGAGTGTAACAATTTTTGTAGGTCACTTTTTATTATTATTTCTGCCTTACATGTTTCGGTTTGACACAACCATCATCAGAGGCACTTGCTATAATTATGGAAACACTGTGGCTGTTTTTGATGTTCACAATTATGTTTGTCGTGTGGACGTTGCTACATGTTGAAACATATAAGGCAGAAATAATAATAAAAAGTGACCTACAAAAATTGTTACACTCGATGGACTTTCTATTAACTTTACGTAAGTACCAGTTTATCCAAAATTTTCCAGTTATTTCTTTTGGCTTTTAGTTGAAAATTTTTCGAGTTCACCCTCACAAACTTACCTGTGAGGGTCTGTCCATCATATAGGATATATCTGATTACAAGAGAGGCTGAAAGTTGAGATTACAGTATGATAATACTAGCAAGCATAAAAGGATCAGTTCCTGTTTGCTGTAAATTTAATAGTAAACTACAAGAAAACTTTTGCTCAGCAGAACAAGGCAAGTAATAACCACTCGCAAGTCTCTCAGTGCTGCAGTTCTGCACAATGCTGTATCAGTAAATCTAATAGGAATTGATGGTTGATGTTTACCAGTAAATATATAGTTATACTGTCATTGCCCCCAATTTCAGTACTGACATAGAGCCTTCTGCATTATTTTTCTGACTACTGTTGTCCTCTCTCTCTCATACTGGCGAGATTTCACTGTGATGTGATGGGAGTGTAGGTTAAGATATTTTCCTGAGCACTTCTTGCCATATTTGTTATATAGTATTGAAAAGAAGCGACTGTGCTGTTGGGAATCAGATATTCATTCGAGCAGGGGCAAGAGGTTTTTACTTCTCCATAGCATCCAGACTGGCTCTGGGGTTCACTCATCCTCCTGTACAGTATTACTGGGGCTATTTCCCTGGGGTAAAGCAGTAGGGGCATGAATGTGACCATTCACCTCTATTCAGTATCAAGTTTAAGAATGGTGGAATTATACTTCCGCTCCTCAATGCAGCTCCATGGCATAATGTCTAAGTAATTAAGCAGAGGAGTAACTGTATCCTTATCACATATTTGCATAGTAGAACTGAGCAGTAATCATGGAAATCTTAATTTTTGTATTCTTAGGGTCGGGTAGGACTGCATCCCTTGGCTTGCATAGGCTTGTGCTAGTAGTGGTAATTGGCCCATTGTTTCAGCCCAGGATGATAGATGAGAGTAATGGAGTGTTTGGAATGATGAGAATTTGCAGGGGAAATCAAATTACTGAGAGAAAATATGATCCAGGCTGCTGCATTGAGAAGCTGAGCTTTAGCATGGCCATGAAGAACCTCAGCATGGATTGTTGGTATCTAGGCTGGTGGAAACCCATGATTCTCAGATATGAAGTATGAGTTCAGCTGGTAGTCGAACCAACAAACCTACAGCTTAAGCATATTACAAATAAAACTTTCCCAGATTGTAGCAAATGCTGAAGTGTTCCCTGTTATGCATGCGTTCCTGGCACTCGGTTCTTCTTAGGATATTGAGTTAACATGAAACTTCAAACTCTGGTCTCCTATACAAGACACATGAGGAATTTCCAATGAAAGTGTTCAAACCTACCACCAGTTTTATCTAGTTTGTCTAGATGGGCATTGGGCACTTTGATTTTCTGTCTCTCTGCCCCCCCCCATCTCTTTTGTGGAGGGGTTTCCAGTAATGCCTCCAGAATTTTCTCCGATGTTTTTTGCAGAACCATTTTTCACATAGGTATCTTACACATGGCATTTCAAGACAGGAACTAAATAAATGAATACCTGCCTATTTCGATGTCAAGTACCATGCCAAGAGTTACACGTAGTGGGCCTGAGATAAAGAATTGGCCAGTATGGAATTCAGAAGCTTGGTTCGTGCTGGCTATTCAGCAGTTTTCCAGAGTGAGAGCTGTTTAAATTAATGCTAGGCTTGATAATCTCCCGACAACAACAATAAAGAGAATTTCCATATCACTTTGATAACAGAGCATATTGGACATACCATTGAGAAAAGTAGACGGTGATGGGTGGAAGCCATTACATTTTGTGATCAGGCAAATAGTCTTATAATTAAAGAATGCATTATTGTGAAAGAGTCAGGGTAGTGCAGTCAGTATAGTGACTTGCTATGGGCTGGGTGTAGTTCAGTTCTTGGTAAGGGCAAGATTTTTCTCTCCATGTCATCCAAACTGGTTCTGAGGCCTACACAGCCTCCTATCCGATGGGCACTGGGGGCTCTTTCCCCCAGGGCAGTGTGGCTGGGCCCTGAAGCTACCTTAAGGTAGTGCTGAGGTCAAGAATACATGTATATACATCTGCTCTCCCAAATGTCTTCATGGCATAGTGCTTAGTTAAGCACAGGGACACCTTTACCATTTTTTACCTTTATTCTTATGAAAGAAAATAGAAATCTTCATTCCAAATAAGTAAAGTATGCCTTGTTTCACAGCGGAAGAAATGTGTAACTATATTACAGTCTACTGTGAGAAGACAGGAACTGAAAATTTGGCTTTGGAAGAGTAGTACCATTGGCAGTAGAAGTCCATAAGACAACATAATCTTTATGTTAGTTGTGCATTCACTGTTAAGGTTTTTATACATACTGTTTCAGGGGAGATGTAGTCACAATGGAATGTGTTGAGAAGATAATCAAGAAGGACTGGTGCCATCCACTTACAGGAGAGAAACTGAAAGAACAGGATGTAATTCCTCTGCAGAGGGTAACAACAGTAGCATTATCATATGATGACTTTTTTAATGTTGATGAGTATGATATACAGACCATTTGTTATGGGAAGCAAAAGCACTACTTAATAATGTGGGCCACATTGTTATGCATTCAGTAGAGCACCTTAATATCTCATATATATTGACACAGAAATGTCTGTTTAATTTGTGTACATCATGTATTTAAAAATCTTACACCTGCTGGAGTGACTGCCTCTGTGGTCTAGTGGCCAGAGTCCCTGGCTACAGATCCAGAGGTCCGGGTTTGATTCCCAGCATTACAAGACTTTCCGAGAAGTAGTGGGTCTGGAGCAGCGTCCACTTAGCCTCGTGAGTATAATTGAGGAGCTATTTCAAGGAAATAATGGCTCCGGTCTAGAAAACCAAAATTAATGGCGGTGGGGGGATTAGTTGTGCTGACCACATGACACCCTCTGTCTCCTAAAGGTGGCACTAACTTCGCTGACAAGTGGCAGTCATTCAGTTGATATAGTTTGCTTGCGGACTGAAACCACAGAGTTTGTTTTTTTGCAGGCATTCTCCTGACCAGCACAAATTACAGTTCAGAGCATATTAATAATGACTTTGCTATATTCGTTAGCAGAAGTTTGTAATTTTAAAATACTGTATAAGTAGACCAGTATATACATCCATCTGTCCGTACTCAGTCACTTTATGTTACTGGAATTGATGGTCTTTAATTTTATGCAGCCTGATACCCATTTTAATAACATCCCATGTCTTTTGTTAAAGTAGAGGCCATCAGGATTGATGGTGTTGACAGCAGCTTAGATAAAATTTGTAGTGTTGTGATCCTCCGTTTTGTAAGCTTGTGACTACATGTTAAGTCAGGGGATCTTAAGGACCATGTTATGTGTGCTCCCTGACCCATACTCTTGGAAATGTTAAGTTGAAGTAACCTTGCACAGTGATGACAGTGAAAAGAATTACTGGAGATTATGTCAATGATAAGTATGTTTTAGTGAAAAGTGACTATGGACTTTATTAAAAACAAAGGACAAAAAAGTTTGTTTATAAGAAACTGTTGAGGACACTTTATTTTTAGGCATGTGAATTTAGTAATGTGTATTTTTGTTTAAATGTGGTCATTACAGAAATACACTGGGGCTTCATAATCATTAAGTATAATAAAATAAACAAGACAGAACTGATGAAAGACACTGACATTCTTGCCCATTTGATAGTTTGCTGTTTGTAGGCATGTTCTGAAAAGAACTTACTAGTTTCATCAAGTTTTCCAACTGTCTGCAAGGTAACAACACCCAAATGACAGTGCTACTTGAAATAAAACTTGCCTTTGGTATGGTGGACAAATACAAATTTTGTTTGGCCATTTTGATTTGGGTTTACTGGTTAATTTTAATAGCGCAACTTAATGTATATTTATATATATTATTGAGTCCAGTTAAATTGGTGTGTGATTGATTATATGCATACTCGTATTACCATGTGTAACTTTGATTTACATGAATTAATTTGTAAGGACCACTGTACATTAGGCCCTAAATTAAGATTTACTTACAGCTGAGTCCTTTGATAGATTTTGATTACTGTGGTCTGGTGGTCAGCGTTCCTGCCTACAGATCGAGAGGTCCAGGTTCGATTCCTGGCACTACCAGTTTTTTTCTGAGAAGTAGTGGGTCTGGAACAGGTCCACGCAGCCTCATGATGATAAATGAGGAGCTATTTCAAGGAAATAGCAGCTCCAGTCTAGAAAACCGAGAATAACGGCTATGAGGATTTGTTGCGCTGACCATGCGACACACTCTGTCCTCAAAAGTTGCCANAGTACAGCTAGAAACCGCTCGCCAGAACCACAGGAACTTTGCTGCAAGACAGGCATATGTAACGATGACTTGGCACAGATAAAGTCGTGTCTTATTTATACTCTGTTCTACTGACAACAGGCCAGCGAAAAATCTAACAATCTACAGCAAAACCATCAATTATTATGGGCGTTATAACATAGGTGTGCAGCTGAACGAAACATACACGTCGAACCCCCCCAGACGATTTAAATCCCTGACGAAACATGCACGACGAACCACGGCAACGGGTTAATTCATTTTAAGAGTTTTGTTATGTAAATGTCTAAATACATTTTTATGTATCTCTCATTAAGTATCAGTTTGATAGAAATATTCTAAAGTAAAAAGCTGTAGGTGCCGGTCACACTAGCCGAGCGGTCTAAGGCATGCGCTGTCTTCGCTCGCTCGGAAGCCGGGATCGTGGGTCCGAATCCCACTCAGGGCATGGATGTTTGTGAGCGTTTTTCTGTGTTTGTCTACAGGTAGACACTTTGTGACGAGCTGATCGCTTGCCCAAGGAGTCCTACTGTATGTGTAAGATCTAGAAAAACCGAAGTGAACGGAGTTCATGGAGGTAGGCCTAGGCCCACTGGGGCTCTAGTGCCAAGGGGAAAAAAAAAAGCTGTAGGTACCCCTAGAATACCTCTTACGTCTTATGCCTGTATTTGCACAAAGTTCACTGCTATTATTATAATGCACTATTATAATGATTGTGCTATTAAGCACTGTTCAAGGTCCTATATTTCTATGACTTTCTCCACCAGTTGATGAAGTCTTGAGTGGGATCCATTGGGCCATTTGGAATCCTTCAGAAATCACTCCTGTTGAGGGTTATAGTCATAAATAAAAATCCAAAGTGTGTATTGTTGATATGAGCTTCCATTTGTTACAAGATGATGGCATAAATATGGACAGGCATCATGTGTAAATGAAACATTTCTGTACTGGTGGTCTGATATGTCTGTTTTTCCTTTCTTGTTTCTGTATGATAGATAAACTAGGTTCTTGTGTTTTCATATGCCTACTATCAATTCTTGTGTACAATAGGGTTCTGTTATTATAATCAAATTATTATGCAATTATGAACTCAATTTTGAAATGTAGATGGCTTGAAATCTGTTACAGGGAGGAACAGGATATTCTTCAACCAACTTGAACCTGGAAGGGAAGCATGAACGCCCTGTATTGCAAGCTTGAAGCAATAATGTGGGTATTTGAAAGTGTGTTGTATATAATTGATTTTGTATCATAGTTCAGATTTTTGTATTATTTCAATTTTATTACTGAAAAATATAATTTGATTTACTTGCCATGTTCAGGTGTAACAAAAGTTTTGTTATGGAATAAATTATGGAGTATACTTTAACAGAAATGACTACCAGGAATTAATTAAATAATTTTCCTGGGGAGTAAAGCGCGGCCAGCGCGTAGGGCTGACAGCCTTACCACCATCTTTGAGCCGATTGTCTAGATAATGTGGGACCCTCAACATCTCAGAAATGGGCCTTCACGGCTTGGTACAGGGAAAGCTTTACTTTTTACTTTTTTACTTTATAAGTAAAGGAAGTTACAGATGTTTTATTTTTAACTGTAGCAGTTCATATGTTGGTGTTATTTTTAATTTCATTACTGAAACTATTAATTTTTGGTGTGTACTAATGTGAAACTTTTGTACAGGAGAGTATGGAGTTCACTTGCAAGTAAAATGTTTTATAAATACTTTACTTGTAACTTTGGTGACTGTCATAAGTAATAAATACAATGAATGCAGGCAGTTATGTGTAATCCAGAAAATCATTGTTGATTATGTGAATGTGTAAGTGTAATGTGGTGCCGGTCATGGTAGCCGAGCGGTCTAAGGCATGCACTGCCTTCGCTCGCTTGGAAACCGGGGTCGTAGGTTCGAATCCTACTGAGGGCATGGATGTTTGCGTTTTTCTGTGTTTGTCTACAGGTAGAGGCCTTGCGACGAGCTGATCACTCGCCCAAGGAGTCCTACCGTATGTGTAAGATCTAGAAAAACTGAAATGAACGGAGTTCATGGAGGTAGGCCTAGGCCCACTGGGGCTGTAGTGCCAAGGAAAAAAAAAGTGTAATGTGGTGGTATTGACAGAATAAAATTATTTGGACACAGTGTGACTTTTGGGAGTGTTGATTTAACCAGAGCCTCTAAATATCAGAAGTTCTCCTTGAGTTCTGTCATTAATGTATTGTGAATGTATTGAGAATTGGCAAGGAAGGGACAGCTTTTAATTGCCACAAGCACTTGGACCGTTTCTGGGTCCATTGTGTGCCCCTAGTGTTGCTTGGGTTCTTTAAGGATCTGCACTAGAGGCAAAACCCTCTGAAGCCCCTCCAATATCCATCGGTTGTATCCGTACAAGGTCGGAAATCATAAATCTGTGCTTAATCAATCTGTGCTTCTCTTGGACTACTGGCATCGGGATATCTCAGATGTCCTCTGTCATTCACCAGCTGGGCTACATAAACCCTCATATCTGGCCTTAGCTGAACTGGCAATTGAGGTCCAGCTGGACTCTCAGAGAGATATCTTCCTGACTAGCTTCTTTTGCTGGCTGGACATTTTCTTAATGGATAGACAACTCACTTCTTTCAGTCACACTCATGGGCCCTTTGTCAGAGCCACTGAGAGCTTCCTTTCAACAGCACAGAGGCCAACAATTGAGTCCTCCGATGCAAGAAGATTATTTCTTCTCTTGGATTGCTGACAGAGGGATGTCTAGAGCCACCCACTGCCATTCACTGACAAAGAGACAGGTGACCCCCGCCATTGGTCACAGTTGGACCTGTATCTCAGTTCCAGTTGAGGCCTCAGTTCTTTTGAGAACATTCCTCTACTGGCCCACTTCATTTTGATAGGTTATTCCATCTCTACCAAGAGATCTCTTAAAAGTCTTGCCTTCAGCAGGCTCTTAGCTCTCAGAAGAGCGGCTGAGAAATTTTACTTCCCATTCATGACAGCAGGAGTGCAGAATACTCAGCAGTTCAGTGCTTCAAAGCAGAGAGAAATTTTTTCTGTCATCTCACGTGCTTTAAGATTATAAGTATGAAAATCTAGACCTTGACTTAGGTGTCATTCCAGGCCGCGCCATAGCTCAAGTGGTTAGTGGCTTGCTTCCCACCGCGGCGGCCCGGGTTCAATCCCGGGTTTGGTCAAGTGGGATTTGTGGTGGACAAAGTGGTGCTGGGCAGGCTTTCTCCGAGTACTTTGGTTTCCCCTGCCACTCTTGATTCCACCAATTGCTCCACAATCACCCTTACCTATCTAGGGCTGGTACAATAGGCCAGAAGTGACAAGGGACTTAGTCCCACCCCACTTACTTACTTACTTACTCATGGAGCGGAGCCCTTTTTGAGGAGCCGCCAATTCTGCAACTACTCAAGAATGTCCCAGCATTTTATGGAACCCGAAGGTTCATCACCGTGTTCACAAGAGCCCTCCACTGGTCTCTATCCTGAGCCAGATCTATCCATTCCATACTACCCCATCCTATCTCTCTAAGATCCATTCTAATATTGTCCACCCACCTACGCCTTGGTCTTCCCTGTGGTCTCTTTCCTTCTGGCTTTCCCACCAATATCCTATACGCATTCCTCGTCTCCCCCATTCGTGCTACATGACCTGCCCACCTCATCCTCCTTGACTTTATCATTCTAATTATACTTTGAGAAGAGTACAAGTTATGAAGCTCCTCATTATGCAGTTTTCTCCAACCTCCTGTCACTTCATCCCTCTTCAGTCCAAATATTTTCAACACCCTGTTCTCAAACACCCTCAGTCTATGTTCCTCCCTTAATGTCAGAGACCAAGTTTCACACCCACGCAGCACCACAGGAAAAATTACAGTTTAGTATATTCTACTTTTTATGTTTTTGGACAACAGACGAGAAGACAAAAGGTTCTGGACTGAATGGTAGCAAGCATTACCTGAGTTCAATCTCCTCTTAATTTCCTCCTGAATAAGGTTTCGATCTGTTATCGTTGTTCCCAAATATCTGAACTGTGCCACATTTTCAAAACATCTGTTTCCTATCGTTGTATCATGATTTTGCCCTGCATTTTGGTAATGAGACAGTAACATATACTTAGTTTTCTCTGTGTTTACTTCTAGTCCAACCTCTTTACTTGTGTCAATTAAAGTTTGTGTGTTTTTCTTTATGGTATCTGCATTATCACCCAGTAGATTCACATCAACAGCATAGACCAACAGCTTATGTGTCCCATTTAATTTCAGTCCCACCTGGTTTCCCTGGACCTTCCTAATTGCCCATTCTAAGGCAAAGTTGAAAAGGAGTGGCGATAAAGCATCTCCTTAGTCCCACCCCACTAGCAATAAAAAAAAAGGTGTCATTCAATTTGAACTTATTATTTATTGGTTGCGTCCCGTTACAAAACCAGGGAACGCAGCTTTCAAAATCGATAGTATCCCGCAAAATTCGGTAGGTCCCAGAGTCACTCAAGAGGTCTGTTTTCTTGGGGTGTTATGACAAAAAGTTTGTGTCCCCTTTCTCCAGTATTGCACTGGCTTAAAAGGTAAGATACGTGTTATTATTGTCGTACTTGTAGATTCAATATTTTATCAAATCCAACCAGAACACGTGAAAAAGGTTGATATATGTTTTGTAAACAATTGTTATGAGTAGGGTTCACCATTCCTGTTAAGAGATGGCGCTCGAGTTTTGTCCGTCCCTCAAACTCCTGTGGTCCAAGTGCTGCCATCGTCTCGGGAAGTTCAGGAAATATTTGAAATTTGCCGTGACGTCACGATTGTCAGCATTAGAGCCGTATGGTGTACAGTATTAGCGGGGAAAAGACGTGAAGTCACGATGTTTTTAAGTACTGGAAACGTTGGTGTTTACAGATATGTTGGATTTATTTGTGTAAGTACCATGTTGTTATGCATTTACGTGTAATAAGAAGTGGTCGTAATGACCTGTCAGCGAGAGAAAGATGTATGTGCCTCAGTCGTGTTGGTTGCTGTGGGTTTGGTGAGTACTTCTGTAGTAAGGGTCATTATTGGACGAATCGGTGTTAGTGATCATGCGGTGTTGTCTCAAGATACATATATATAGTGGTGGGACAGTGTAAGCAGTTAGTTATTTTTACTGTTGCATGTGTTATTTAATACGTACTACACGTTTCATCACGAGGACAGCAATTTTTGTCAGAAAATTCGTATTAATGCATCTGTAGCTTCGAATTAAATGCATGTCCGCATTATGCAACACTAAACAGCGCGCGCAAAAGTGTTCTTATCGACAGCGAAAGAGAAAGGGAACCTGCCAAGTTTATTTAGTCTATATACAAACTGGGCAGTTATTCATAATTGTATTTGTATGTATTGCAGATGCTATTGCTTTGGATTTTCTTTGTCCATGGGTTGTGTTTCTCAGGTTTACCGTGGAACACTTGTGAATGACATTAATATACATTCAGTTAGAAGATTAACAGGCCGAATCAGTGTCTTGCGTACCATGTATAATCCAGTATTTTCGTCATAAATTTCGATACTGCTGTTTGATAAGAAATGTTCGTTTTAGGGATGTCGGCGTTTAACTCCTTGTAATCTGCTTGATTGGTGTAAGATTTGAGGTTTTCACGGTGCCACATCACAGAAGACGGCATTCTTGATAGATGGGTGTTTAATTACCTACGGATTACCTCAAACTGTCAGACTACATGGTGTTATAACCCAGAAGGCCATAATATGAAACTTCACCGTCGCGTTCATCAGAAAACCTCTTTAGCGTATGAAGTTAAGTATTGTAGCGTGTAGAGCTGTTACTGAGTAACGACCTCGAAACAACATCCATTACTAGGCAGCGACCGCGAGATAAGCAAATATACCAGAGCCGTTACTTGGTAACACCGTCTCAAATGGGCGTGTTCCCATGGAGACGACTGGAGCAACAATAGAAGAGCTGTGCTTTGTGTTGGTCCATGCCGATGGGTTGTCAGTGGGACAAGTTTAGAAGTTGGTCAATTGTCATTTGTAGTCAGTTGTAAGAGAGTCTGTGAAGAGAAGACTTGGTCGGTGTAGTTGAAGAAACTCCATTGTTAAGATCCGTTACTGGGAAACGGCTAGTGAAAGCAGACTGTAAAGACTTAGGCAGCGTCTACACGAGCGCACAAAATGCGTCCGTTGTAACGAACGTCGTGACGTCCATTGTAGAAATAAACAAGAGAGGCGAATGCTACGCTTTCTTCTGGCTCCATTGCAGACAAGAAACTATGCACCGTATTCTGCAACTGTGTGGTGTTATCAGCAACGTCCTCAGCAAAGTACGTTCGTTACAACGGACGCATTTTGTGCGCTCGTGTAGACGCTGCCTTAGCGTATTCTGGGGTGGTATGTAAAGTGTGGAAATCAGCGATGGCGCAATAATTAAGTGTAGTCACGAGTCGTATGTTAAAATGGTCAGTAAATCCAATATCCATCCAAAACCACGTCGAGGGTACTTATTAAGAGTGGTGCCGGGCTGTCTTCGATGGAAGGACTGGCAAAACAGCAGTGGCTATTCCACTAGCACGTCTGAAAAGTTAAATGCATATTTAAATATAAAGACGAATATCTTTGTGGCATTAAAATCGGAGAGACGTTATAAACACCAACAGTGCACGACTGAAACTGAAATCTGTACGACACAACATATGAGTATGAAACAGTATTGAGTTACTGGAATGTGACGGGAACAAAACCAACTTTCATTGGCTTATCTAGTTAGATTGCACAGAGTGTTCTGTTATAGAACACAGCATATTTAAACTGAAAGGAAACGGAAAATAAAAGACGCCCCTAATTGGAGAGCAGTTTTGTTTAGTTACGCTAATATAAATATGACAACGATTATAAATTTCGCATCAGCAGGTGTCCACGATTTCACGATTCGTTCCAATGTAATCAGATTAGAGAGATCGCTGAATTTAGTACATAATTTCGTTTTGCAGATATGCTTAATGTATTAAAATAAAATATGAAATGACCATCCAACCATATATAATTTATTTACTTATTTGCTTATCAGATACCGTTACACGCTGAAATTGTTTAGTCATAATATGACCATCTTCAAGGCGAGACCAAATATTAAAGGAAATTTTAAAGTACGCATACTTTAAAAGATTTGTCACCTTTAAATCATTTAAGTACAACGATACAATCGATAAATATTTAAACACTGTTATGTAGATTTTTTTTTATTCTTAGTGGGGTGGTGCCACTATTGGCCTGTTGTACCAGCCCCAGATAGATGGTGGTGGTTGTGGAGCAATTGGTGGAAGGAAAATTGGTAGGGGAAACCGAAGTCCTCAGGAGAAACCCGTCCCAGTCCCACTTTGTCCACCACCACCCATATGACCTAACCCGGGCGCCCAATCGAGGCATGGATGTCTGTGTGCGTTTGTTCTATGTTTGTGTTGTTCTGTGTGTAGGTAGCGGCCTTGGAACAGGGCTGATCACCCGTCCAAGGAGTCCTACCGACTGTGTATAAAGGTAAGGTGAAGTTATCCCCTTGTTTAACTAATTAAGCACTACGCCATGAAGGCGTATGGGGGAGTGGATGTATAGATCCACATTTTCTTGACATCGGCATTAGCTGGAGGTAATTGGTCAGCTTAACACCCCGGCCGCTTTACCCCAGGGAAAATCCCCCGGTTCCAATTGGATAGGAGGTTGGGTGTACCCCAGAACCGTTCTGGACGATTTGGAGAGGAGAAAATTCTTCACCCTACCGGGACTCGAACTTCGACACCTCGCTATTCCGACTACGCCATCCCGGCTCCCTGCAGTCTTCAGTTACCGGAGAAATAAATGGAAGTGCAGTGAGACAGTACATCAGCTGCTCATAGATTTCAATAAAGCCTATGATTCACTTAGGAGAAAGTATTTTACAGTACTCTCCTAGACTTTGGGGTGCCCATGAAACTAGTTAGGCCGATTAAATTAAAATGTGTTTAAACGAAACGTATAGTAAAGTCCATATAGGTAAACATCTGTCTGATAATTTTCCTACCCGGAATGGTCCAAAATAAGGATATGCATTATCGCCATTCCTTTACAACTTTACTTTAGAATGCGTTGTTAAGAAGGTCCAGGAGAACAGGGTGGAACTGAAATTAAGTGGGACACATCGGCTGTTAGTCTGTGCTGATGATGTGAATCTACTGGGTGATAATATATATGTGTATTTATGTATATCCTTAAGAAAACCACAGAAACTTTAATTGACGCTAGTAAGGAGATTGGTCTAGAAGTAAACACAGAGAAAACTAAGTATATGTTACCGTTTTATCACCAAAATGCAGGGCAAAATCATGACATAAAGATAGGAAACAGATGTTTTGAAAATGTGGCACATTTCAGATATTTGGGAACGACTATAACAACTCAAAACTGGATTCAGGAGGAAATTAAGAAGAGATTGAACTAGGGCAATGCTTGAGAGTAGGATGTTGAGGAGAATATTTGGACCGAAGAGAGATGAAGTGACAGGAGGTTGGAGAAAACTGCATAATGAGGAGCTTCATAACTTGTACTCTTCTCCAAGTATAATTAGAATGATAATGTCAAGGAGGATGAGGTGGGCAGGTCATGTAGCACGAATGGGGGAGACGAGGAATGCGTATAGGATATTGGTGGGAAAGCCAGAAGGAAAGAGACCACAGAGAAGACCAAGGCGTAGGTGGGTGGACAATATTAGAATGGATCTTAGAGAGACAGGATGGGATGGTTTGGAATGGATAGATCTGGCTCAGGATAGGGACCAGTGGAGCGCTCTTGTGAACACGGTGATGAACCTTCGGGTTCCATAAAATGCTGGGACATTCTTGAGTAGCTGCACAATTGGCGTCTTCTCAAGAAAGACTCAGTCCCATGAAATTAGTTAAGATATGAAACGTTACGAAATAGTAGTTCATTGCCCGCTCTTGTTGCCGCGGCGTTAGATTGGTTGACACTGTTTTTATTTCAGATATTATTTAACATTATTGTAAGAGGTTTAAGAAGTTTTCGCATTTGAAAGGGGACGCTACAGCCCCTTAGAGAATTTTCATTTTTCCGTTTTGTTTTAGCTGGAAACTAGAAGAAAGATATAAATGGCGGGTCTACTAGTAAATACCTGTGTATGTCTCATCAGCCTACTTTCCTTATTTTGAAACAATTAAAGTAGGCTTATGCTATCAATATGCTGTGTGTTCTTCTATATAGCCCCCTATGAATTTCCGAATCCATTAACCAATCTTTAATAATATTTGTCTGTGTCTCAGCAGCATACATCATGAATCCTCCCACCGGTCTGTGTCTATATTTGTAACCCCCTACCGTTGCTAGGCAACGGCTGGGTAAATACGTTGCCGCGGCAGCAAATACACACGCAACAGTAGAAGAATTGTTGGACGTGTCTTTTTCTATGCAGTCCATGTCGTGTCAAGGGAATATAAGCGATAAGTTCCTCCCAGAACATTTTTTTTTTCCCGTGGAGCGCCAACCCGTGGAGTGGTGTGTCTGTCCTAGTGATGCTGTAGTAATAACAAATAGCTGACTGTAAATTCTGTACCTTCAGGTATATAAAAGCAATTAGATCAGCAGAAGAGAAAGAAATAAAACAATATTTAATGTTTTTATACGGATTTTCCCATCTCTCCCATGTGCACCAGATGTTTGGTTGAAATAATTGCTAATTAGTTGATCATGAACAACGATGAAAATACGAGTACAAAAAGTTATATTTATCTAAGCCAAAAAAAAATGGTGTCGCGGGGCATAGGTTTCGTGTGAGAAAAAGTGACAACCATTGCTGTACAGTATCAAATATAGAACCGCGCTTTTAAAAACACTTAATATATAGTATTAAAATATCACATATCTCCTATTTTTTCAGAT